GCTAGGTTCATTACCCTCTATTGTGAATCATAGAATTATAGAAAATTAGGGTGGCAAGGGATATCAGGAGGTCATCTAGTCCAATCCTCTGCTCAAAGCAGGACCATCCCTAACTAGATCATCCCAGCCAGGGATTTGTCAAGCTGGGCCTTACAAACCTCCAAGGATGAAGACTCTCCCACCTCTCTAGGTAACCTGTTCCAGTGCTTCACCACCCTCCTAGTGAGAGTTTTTCCTAATATCCAACGTAAACCTCCCTTGCTGCAACTTGTGCCCATTGCTCCTTGTTCTGTCATCTGCCACCACTGAGAACAGTCTAGCTCCATCATCTTGGAAACACCCTTCAGGTAATTAAAGACTGCTGTCAAATCCCCTGTCAGTCTTCTCTTCTGCAGACTAAAATCCAGTTCCCTCAGCCTCTTTTCATGTTGTTGGGGGCTCATTAGTCTGTGTTGCATTGAGTGGAACCATAAATATCGTTAATTAACAATGGACTGCCCTATCCCTCAAGGTCACATTGCTTTCCTAAGAGAGGCCAGCATGTTGACATGGATCCACTTAATGCAAACCAGCACCCAAATACACCCCAAAAGATACTGAAAGCTTTTTTGAGCCCCACAGCTGAGGAGTAACTAACAGTCACAATTGTGGTTTTTCTTGGGCATACCTCTGGGTGCCATTTTCAGAACACCTACATATAAGCACTGCTGTGGGTAAGGCACAGCTGGAATTGGAAAAATTCCCCCTAGGGAATCCCCCCACCTACTCCTGCCTTACTTCTCCTCCCAGAGAACCAGAGAAAGTTCACCTCTGCACCTGGACACTTGGGTTTCTCAGCCCTCCCGACTCCCACAACAGGGAGATGGACCCCAGGCATGCAGGTTTTCCCTACTGGGAGGCAGAATGCAGGCATTCCACAATGTGGTCAGTGCTGAGTTGTAAGCAGCTGCATGGCTTTTGGCCCCAGGTGGGGGAAAACGTCTGAACAGGGGACTTGCCATAGGTCCCTCAGTGTCTCCTTGGTCTGCAGACTTCCTATTTGTGCATGGGAGGCCCAGTTGTGATGTTGCATGGGAAGCCCAAGATGCTGGATCTAGGATACTTGACTGGATACCTGCAGAGCGCTGGAGATGTGTGTTGCTGGAGATACAGCATTGGCAACATGAAGACCAAATGGGACCCTTGATGTGGGAGATTGGAATGGACAGGTTGGCGATTGCTTGCACCGTGGCACATGAACAAGCTGTCCAGGGCCAGATATGTGCTGTGAAGGTCCAAGAATGAGGTCTATAGATGGCCACCTGCTGTCTAACAGAGGCCACCTGCATCGCTATGGAGCAGAGAGAATTGCAGCACCAGGATAAGGAGTTTATGCACAAAGAACACTTTGGGTCTAGCTACAACAACCCTGAGTGGTATCAACACCACCTCCTGCAGAGAGACTGTAGTCCAGACCCCTTAACATGGAGAGTCCCAATCCAAAAGACTCTCCTCTGGGGTGACAGGAATGGGAGTCCCACAGAGGCTAACCCTGGATGGCTGCCAAGGAGGAGTACTCTAAACTATGCATTGATTGGGAGATGCTGGGGAGCAGGGGACCCTGGAACATGAGATGTGGCATATGGGAGCTGCTGACTCAAGATCCAAGGATCCAGGAAGATGTCTGGCAGGACCTGCTTTGGGGAGCAGAAGTGCAGGACAAGAGCGGGACCAAGCTGCCCAAGACCTGATGCCAGAGCAAGCATTGACTCAGCTCACCTTCCAGGGCCACCTCACTACCTCATGGCAGGGGGGAGGGGTGGGGAGGGGACAGCCAAGGCTCAACTGCCACCAGGTCAGGTCAATCCAGGCCTGGGTCCCACTGTGGGGGACTGGTGCAGCCTCTGCAAAGATAGGCAGCCCCCTGGGCTTGAGTCCAAGTTCTGGAGTGGGTAAAATTCTAGTCTTCTTTATTATGCACACAAAACATTTGGCAGCTGCAGCATTTAATTAAACAGAAGTGTAGCAGTTTCATGCGTGGCATTCCCCCTGCCACTACAAGATTTCTTGTTGGTAAGTTGAGTCCCCCATGGCTTCCCACCCTCCTCCCCGTCTCACCATCAATACTGCCAGGTGTTGCCAGGGTCTTTCTCCACTCTCTTAATGTTAACTGAGAAGAAGGTTCCAAGTTCCGGACTGGGCAACGTTCCACTGGTTTTGTTTAATAAACACACTAGCAGTTTGGCAGCTTCCACATTTGATTAAAATGAGACAAGTTTTTTCCTCAGGCCACATTCCCCTGAAACCCTGGTGTGTGCCCTTGGTGGGGCTAAGGAGGGAGAAGGGAAGAGGGATGGTTCCTGGTCAGCCAGCATTGTGGTGCCAGTGATGCAGGGCCAGAGAAGACTGGGGTAGAGACCCATGGCCTGGTGCCAGGGCAGGAGTACTCAAACCCCTCCAGCGATACTTGTCAGGAAGGGCTCCTGGTCCATGCGCTTGAGAAGCTATTCTGCTATGGCTTCATAGATCCAGACAGCCTGCTGCTTTGCAGGGCCAGGGCCACCACCAGTGGCCAGGGGGTTGGAATACAGACGTCTGGGACAGACACCCAGACAGACACACACACACACACACAGAACCCAGGGGTCTAGGACTCACACACGTATATGCATGCATACATGCACAGAACCCAGGTGTCCAACACACACACACACACACACACACACACACACACACACACACACACACTAGGTGGCTCGTGGCCATGAGGGCACATGTCATGATGAGCCACTGTTGCATCAGGTCCAGGCAGGCAGCCCTGGTGCCCCCAACAGCTTATCAGCAGCCCAGGGAGCCTGCAGGGCAACTGGGAGGCATACGAGAGCCCTTTCTACCTACTGGACTTGACCCATGCAGGCAAGTTCTGAGCCTCCCCTTTCCCTCCCTCCCCCACACCAAGGGCTAATGTGTATTCTGCTTACTCCTGACCTAACCTTGGGAACTTACAGTAAAGCTTGAAAGTTAGAGCATTTCCACCTTGGGCTTCTTGAACATCTGTACTTAGCCATAGTTGGTGGCAACTGTAGATAACACATCTTGCACTTTAGTCAGGTTTGCTATAAATCAGTGTTTCTCAACCCATGGGGTGCAACCCAGAAGTGGGTCACAAAAATATTTGAAAGGGTCATGAGCAAGTCCCAGAAAAATGTGGGAAAGCATAAGTTTCCCCTTGCAGGCTGGCAGCATTTCAGCCTGCAAGGAGCTGCTGGCATGATTAGAAGTAGCGGGTGCATGCCAGCACTGGGGGAAACTGACCAGGCACTGAGGCTGCATCAGGACAAGGGTGAAGGTCCCTGCCCCTCCAGTGGGGGAAGAGGATAGGGGTGTCCTTCAGGAGTGGTGGGGAGCTGTGTGTCTGGGCTGGCAGTACTGGAGCCGGTGCCTGTACTCACAGGGGCAGGGCACCCAGGAGATGCTACTCAAAGGGCAGGTGGGAACATGACCAGGCTGCCATGACCAGCTGGGGCCCCCTCTGGCAGGGCTATGGGGAGCCAGGGGGCTGCAGGTTGGGAGTGAGAGGCACCAGCATGGCCCAGGGGGCAGGGGACTATAGCTTGGGTGTGAGGGGCACCGGTAGGGCCAGGGGGCTGTGGGTGGGGATTGATGGGCACTGGCAGGACTGGGGGTCTGTGGCTTGAAAGTGGAGGCATCAGCGGGGTCAGGGAGCTGTGGGTCAGGAGTGAGGGGCACTGGCAGGGCCTGGGGGCTATAGGTTAGGACTAGCCATTGATGTTTATAAATGGGTCCTGGTACAGAAAAGGTCAAGAACCACAACTATAAATGACTGCTAATTAAGCAAAACAAGACCTGGATTAATAGTTACCTAAACTAAATCAAAGAAGCAGATCCCTCCATCAGCTTCAGTAGATCCTTTTGGAAGCAGATATTCTGAATTGCTCTTCTTTAGGAAACATTTTTTCTTTTTCCATTGTTTTACAAGCCAGTACCTTTCCCAGGTGTATTGATGTACATAACCAGCTACTTCCATCCAGGTAAAATGAGCAACCACAAAATAGTTAGAAAGTGGAGCAGGTTAGGAATTTTCTAAAAGGCCAGTTTATTGAAAATGAATCCCCATAAATGGGCCAATTTTGCTGAAGCACTCATTGTATCTAGGATGCAATTTCATAGTGCAAAATAGAGAACTTGGAGAGTACAGGAGCCCAGAGGTTAAAACATGCACCTGGGCTATCCCAGGTGAATTTTTGCACTGCACCAGAGACTTGAATGTCTGTTTCCACAGCCCAGGCAAATGTCCTAACAACAGGGTTGTTTATGAAAAAAATTGACAGGTCTCTATTTAATCCCAATGTAGAAAGGGAAAGATTTTCAATCTCAAAAATTTTTGCAAAATGTGAAACAATTTCTCACCCAGCTTTGTAAGAAACTTAAAACTATTTGTCAGTTTTGCGGGGAGGAGGGTTTGCATCAATGGCGTAAAAAGGATTTGCAAACCATGTCCCTTTAAAAAATACAGGAGATTGTTTAAGTAAAATATCCTTTCCGTCTGGAAGAGTTCTATTGTCATGATTTCTGCCTTTTATGGCATATGTTATATATTGACATGGATTAAGTTTCCATCCCTAATGGAACTAGGCACAGTCAGGAGAGCTACCGTACTAGCCATAAGTGCAAAAAGCTCATGGCAAGTACAGCTGTAGTCCTCATTGAGTACAGTTAGCTAAAGGCAGAGCACTCCAGTGATCTTTGTCTTTCTGCCTCTCTCCTCCTCCTTCGCTGTCTCTTTTTTTCCTTCTCTTTCTTTCACTGTTATACTTTCCTTGGACCCCTTGCCTTTGTTATTCTGCATGTCTGATTAGCAAGAGCCTGATTGGCTGGCTGCCTGGTTGGAGGGAGATTCCATTCAGCTTACCCCCCACCCACCCCTTGGTCAGGAAATGTGAGCAGAGCTGATGGAAGCTGATAGGCAGGGCTGAAGAGTTAGCACCAGTACTGGATGTGACAGCAGGCAGAGGAGCATTTAGCAGTTTATACCGTGTCCGATTCAGATTCCGGCAAGGATCCAAGCATGGAATGCTGCCGTTGGGCAACTGCTGGCACTCTGCTCCTGCTCCTGGCTTCCCTGCTCCTGGTAAATGTCATTTCTTTTATTTAAATACTTAACTGTTGCAGTTGACTTTGTTTAAATCTTTCAAACTCCAGGTAGAAAGAGATGACTTTGAACCACTTCCACAAGTTTCAACCTCTCTAATGTAACTTGGGCTCTGTGTCTTGTTGTTAGCATAGGTTGCTGCAGGTAGAACCCAAAGGTTGGCATAGATTTATGCAAACTTGGGGAGTGATATACTGTGAATGGAGATTTGAATGCTTGGAATTTGGACAACAGCCCTTTTTCCCCCTTGAAATCAAACTATAACACATTGTAGTGCTCATGGAATTTTATGTACTAGGTGCTGGGGAGGGTGTTCATCCTTTTTTTCTTTTTTTTGTAAATCAAAATTTTTTTTTCCTGTGTACATGCAGAGAAACCAAGTACAACATGTACTGGAGCTTCTCCAGCAGCCAACTCAGATTATCTCTGATAATTACTGTAAATCATTAGAGAGATAAGCCGATACTAACTTTTAGAAATTAAATATTATGCTATGTGATCTCAGAGGCACTTTAGAGATATAAAGCTGGTCCTTGTTATTTATCTTTATTTATTTATTTTATTGTAAGTGACTCTCAGTCACATTGATAAGATGCTCTACAGCTGAACCCCACAGCTGGGCTCTTTGATTGAAAGTAAATGTTCCATCATGACTCATACTTAATTTAATGGGTATGGACTGCACATTTACTCATTTACTGTCCAAAACTCTACAGTGAAAATATTAATAATAGAGTGCATACTTTTAATAGCAAAGTGTTCTTGGCATGCACATAAATTGAGTCTCTTCAGAAAATTTGTTTCACTAATTTCCATGAATTGAGTCAGAGCAAGAAACCTTATAAATGAATGTAAAACTTTAAACCAAAGTGCATATTTTATTCACATAATAACTGCAAGATCATTATTATATTCCAAAGATCAGAATTTCTTTTAAAATTAAAATGAACTTGCATTGTGTGAATGACACAAGATTACTGCATGCTAATCATAGCAATTAATTTAATGGTCACCTGAGAACAACAAACAATATGTTAATCCAATTCAATAGGCTCATTATGTTTTTTTAATATATTTTCTATAAAAACATTGCATATATTACTAAATATCACTATCTATAATAGATAATGGGAAATATAAATGGCACTTGCAAAAACCATTAAAAATAATCTCTTTTAAGTATAAAATGAAATTTAAGTCACCCAGCATGTCACCCAGACTAGTATGAAATCACCCAGACTAGTATGAAGAAGTATGAAAAGACTGAATATGACTTTCTGAACAAATAAAAATTAAAAGATTATTAAGCAATCATTATACATTATTATGAGCCAAAAACCCACAGTCCTAATTTAGGGAAAATTAATGGGAATTTTGCCAGTGTTGGGACAAAATACAGACTATAGGATTTGGCCCCATCTTAAAATCAGACCCTCACTACTTGTAGTTACTTCATTCCACTGCTTGTGAATTATGTACTCAGTCCCTAATTCATGAAAATAAATAGTGCATTCTGCTGCCAACCATTATGCATTTATTTAATACTATACCAGTTTGTGTTTGCATGATTTTTTTTGCTAGAGATTTTTAAAATAAAACTTTGTGCCTTAAGAATTGTGATGTGAAAAAAGCTCAACTTTCTTTTTCAGAATCTTGGACATTCTTTTCTCTCTCCCTTACTTGATTACAGTGGAAGATTTGACTGAGTAAAGATGGCAGGAATTTAAATTTTGATTTGGACTTATATAAAGGAGAAGCATTGAGATATATCAACATACATGTTGGTGTCAGAGCCTGCCATCCATTCTATTTATATGGTGCCTGATGCAGAATCTATTGAAATCAGTGGAAAGACCCATGCTGACCTTAGCAGGTTTGGGGTCAGGCCCATAAACACTGGACTGGATGCTGTTCTTGTTTAAAACTCACCAACCCCATTAAATATTGAGCTATAGAGCTGGAATTATATTCAGAGTTTGAACCTGTAAGTACAAAGTACTGGCTCAGTCCTGCAAACATAACAGTAGAAGCATTCCCTGCTCTGGTGAGTACTGTAGTTGTGTTGACCAGGGTAAGGATAGTATAGTAAGCACTCAGCCCACCAGCAAGACTTACTAGTATTGGTCTCCATAGTGATATGTCACACGCTGTTGTGTATAACATGTGTGTACAAACTGCCACATGGAAAGAACAGCATGCTGAAGGGTAGACTTGGCCTTCTGCATAAGTGTGCCAGCAAGAAGGTAAGCAAAGCCCAGACGTGTTCTCATCTCTTGCCTTACTGTAATAAAAGGCTGAGACAATTGACATCCAGCATTGGTTTTACCTCTCTACGTGTTTGAAAGATTGTAGCTGTGAGTAATGATGAATGTACTCTATCTGGGCACCTCAGGCTTCGCTGGGACAAAATCTCACTGAAAAGCTCTCAGTGGAGGATTTTCCCAGGGGGTGGTGGCATTACAAATTTACTTTGTTAGTTTCCCTAGAGTATCACCCAAATATTCACCTATACTTAGGAACATAAATCCCATCAATATCTAAGTTAGGTGCATAAGCACATGTGAAAATCTGGTCCAGAATGCTCAAAGTCTGTGACTTCTTAAATCAGTTTTAAACCTAAGTCTAAATGATGTTCTCTCTCTTTCTCTCTCCAGATTGAGATCAGGTATTTGGGGAATATTGCTCATTGCCCTATGAACTTTTGCATCCTAAGGAAATATTAACACACCACTTTTAAAAGAAACAAAAGAAAGCAGGCATTCTATTCCAAAGATTTCCCTATTTCATTAAAAAATAAAAAGCAACCCAAGCAGAAATGTGACTGAAACCATGACCAGCCATTGACATGTGTGTTCATCCAAACTTGAAGTCAAACCACTTCTTGTCAAAAAGGCATTTAATCAAATTTGCAATTGCTGTTTGCCTGCTTTCAGTGGTCTTTAGCTCCTTTGCCTGCTATTGTGGTAGCTGCAAAAGTAACACTAGGAATTATAATAAAGTACATGTGTTTTTCTGCCGAATTTCTTTTTTTCTCTGCTCTAATTTATACATGGAAACTAGTCAAACACAATATCCCATTCCTTTCAGGCTCTCTGGCACTTTACTCCTCTATTACTAAGCGGATCTGTCTTGGATGAGCATAAGCATAATTAGCTTGTAGAACAAATGTTAAATTCCTTGTTTACATCAAATGTAAGAAGGTTAACTCAGCCATTTCCCTTCACATATAGATCTGTTTGTCTATCACTGTATGTCTGACCATCTGTTTCTACATTTATAGCTGTATAGGGATGGATTTTCCAGTGAGGGCTCCAAAATTACACACGTGCATTTTCCATGTGGCTTAATTTGCATGTGCTAAGTGGCCTTCAGTCATGCCATCTGGGTAGATGTGCACTGTTTGCATGTACAAGTTCAAGATTTATTTGTAAAAAAAAAAAAAAAAAGGGTGCATGTTCAACATTTTGCACAGTTTTGGCATCTGACTTGAAAATCTGGCTAGCACTGTCGTACCCTGAAAGCTTTGCATCTCCTTCCAGACCATACCGTATTCCTTATGTGAATATCCAAGTCATTTCTTGATATGTTGTTCTAAAATTTCTTTACTTGGCTGAACTGTTTTCCAGATTGCTTTTCCTAGTATAGCATTTATTTACTCTTCCTCCACTGAGTTCAAGAGTTTGTGAGAATCTGTATCCAACTGTTGTCGTAAGATAAATGGAGCTGGTGCTGCAGTCTTCTCCTTTGGACTCAGGTCCTGCAATCTTCACTCAGGCAAAATTCTCATTGAGATTAATGGGACCTGGGCCTAAGTCAAGACTGTTGGTGGCATTAGGCTTCTGGTGGTATTTTTAAGCCTTTGGTTTAATTCTTAGTCTGGCAAGACAAAGTAAAACACCTCAGAACATCTGGAGCATCAGAACACATTTAGCCAGAACCACAGTGGTCTATATCAATTTGTTAATTGAATGAATGACTCTATTAATTATTAACTGAATAAACTAATCAATTAATATGATGCTTGAACACTCACTAACCAGGGCATAATCTGAGCTTTCATTTCCATTATGTTTGGGAGGACATCCATTCAAATGTAAACTGAATGTATCCAGTGTTGCTAGCCTGAGTTTGCAGACAGAACCATTACAACTGCTGCTGCTGCTTTCTCTAGCTACTACAGTGACTAGTTTTATCAAAACCTTGTGGGTGGCGGTAGAACTGACCGATATCAGCCTGTTCCATTGTGCTGAACATTTGAAGAGGCAAGTACTGGTTCTGTTTAAAACGTAGTAATAAAAAAGAGGTTGAAGGAAGGAGCCTGTATGGAAATGGCCAGAAAGCTGAGGAAGGAGGTAAGGTAGGAAAGATGCTCTCCAATAGTCAGGGGCCATCCTGTGGTCATGATGTTCTAGGATCAGAAAGTGGAGAGAGAGAGTGCTTTTTTTCCCTTCTAGTAGCCAGGCGGAGTTTAGAGGGAGTTGTCAACCACAACAAACAACTAGTAGTCAGAAGCTGATATAAAAGCTGGAGCACTCCGTAAAAGGACAGAGCATCATTCTCTGCTCTCTTCTACCTCTGTAAGTATTCTAGCACCCATATACAGGGGTTGCAAATAGTACCAGACACATAGGGCATGCCCCCATGAGCGCTTCCCCAGTGACAAACAGCAGTGGCACAGTATGGGCCTTACATGGGGCCCTGGGGGCCTCGGGGGGCTGCAACCATGGCGATCCTGGAGGACGAAGCCTGGCCAGCAGCTGGAGCACAGCTCTGGCCAGCCAGGCTCCAGCTTCAGGCAGCACCCGCTGCCACCACATACACTGCCCCTGTTTTTTGTAGGTGCGGGATTTTTTTGATATCAGGATCTCCCAGTGTCAAAGCCTCCTCCCCCACACTGCAAATTAGCAGCACCGGGAATGCCTACACAAGCCCCAAATGGCCAAACACCTACCCCTAGTGGTCACAAAGGCTGTTGTGAAAGATGATGGTTACCACCAACCATGACAATGACAGGAAAGAAACCAAATCCTTCCGTATAGCTATAGAGCTTCTGACCAGTAGGTGTAGGTATTTGGCCATTATGCGTCTGGTAGTATTTGCAAACCTTTGTATATGGCTGCTAGAATGCTTACACAGGTAGAGGAGAGCAAAGTGTGATGGCATACGCTTGAAAAGTGGTTTTAATGAGAGAAGGGAGAAAACAGTAAATATGGGAATGAAAGTAGAAATCAATTTAGAGCAAGTCAGGAAATAAGAGATAGAGAGGAAAAACGAGGCGCAAGAAGAAAGAAGAAAAAGAGGAAGTGCACACCTATAGGCAAATCATAGAAAGATACACCATAAATATCAGGTGCCCTGCTTTTCTTACAGCAAAGCTACACGTGGGCCAGTTAGCGATAGGCAATTCCTTCTGTATGTGTTTAATTATAGATGGTGCTTTATGTGGGTGGTTGGCAGTGGTCAATGCGTGGCACAAACTGAATCCTTTTTAAGTGCCATCCTCTCTCCTATTTCCACCCTATTTGCCAAAGTAGGCAGACATCTCACTGCATTTCAAAGAGTGTGAGATGTGCCATTATGGGCATTGAGGGCCCAGCAAAGAAGTGTGTAGACTCCTGTGTGGTACTGTATTGTTACTCTTCTTATAGCAATGTTACTTTTTCACAGAACAGCTTCCCTGTAACCTGGGGTTCTTATAACTGGAACTTCAGTAGGCATATTCCTGTCCATTAACACAATACAAGACTTTCATTCTATTCACTGTCAGTGCAATGAAGTATCACTCCTTCAGAATTCACCAAAATACAGATTGTGTTGCATTTCTTAAAAATGGGTAAATGCTTTTATTTCTTTAAATCACAACAGTTTAAATTTACTTTCACATGCAAGCAAGCAACCAACCTCTCTCTCCTGCCAGTAAGACGTTGTCCAAATTTCTTGTAAAAATACCCAAAATAACTGTGGTGAAATCTGAAGGCATTATAGACGGGTTACTGGGGGAGGGGAGAGAAAGCAAAGTACAGTATATGGCATGTGAAATTTATTCCACTTATGAGGCAGGCATATGCAGAACTCTCTAATAGTTTCACCACCTGTGAATTATTTGGATATATCTTATGAGTGGGTTCCTTCTTATATTTATGTAAAGAAATAAGTTGTATGTTCACTGATTCTACAGTACATTAATTTTCACAGTTTCCATTTTCATCTTTGTTGCCTTTATGGAATTTCTTGCAAAGCTTCAACTATTTCTTAAGATGGTGTCCTGGAATTTCTGCATTTCTAGGACTTCTTTAAGAGCAAGTTTAGCAGAGGGTGTCAGGGTGGTGGGAAAGGGGTGTGTGATAATGTAAGACATCCTGAAATAAATTCGAAGATCACTAAAGAAATGAGACAGGAAATTATATGCAACACATAATACATTCAAACTGTCCCATATAATAAGTATAATTCATTTTTGTTTCCAAATGAAAGTACTATAAGGGTGTCAAATATTCCCTCCCTACTTTGTTGGATATAAACTTAGCCCTTGTTTGAAGTCTACCAGAGTATTGTTCAAATCTTGTGCTGCATCAGTAGAACCAGAAATGAAAAGGAATAAAGGAAGCACTAAGGATACCTACTGTTCTGGTGCTGAAATGTGATTGGGGGATTTTATTTATTTACTTATTTATTTATCTAAATATTTCTATTCTTTTCAGTCTGACTGTTAAAGCCATCTGTCATTGCGGGCTAATATAACTGCCTTATACACAAGGCCCCCTGCTGCTTTACTTTTTCATTTTAGTATGTGAATGGGCTCTCATTATAAATGTGCTTTGGATATGACATTTTCATAGTTACTGTAACTTAAATATAGGGAAAGTTCAAGTCAGCATGATATCAGCAATGTGTTCCTTAAAGAGCTAGTCAAGACAGTGTTTTAAAGAAGAAATAGCTGAGCTAGTCATTTAAAAGAGGGGAAAGAAGAGAGAGAGAGAACAATAAAGTCAACTTAGTAAAGATTTCTTAACTAAAACAGAGTGAAGTACATAGAGCAGTTTCTTATGTACAGCATGTTAGCTCTAATCCATGCATAATCATCATCTTTTCTTTCTTTCTTTCTTTAGACAGCCATGCAAATATATTATTTTTCCACGTGTGTGATATTGGGGGAACTAATAAGGGCAGGAGTTACTTATATCTTGTAATCTATGTGGGTTTTGCCTCTTCGTTATTTCTATGTGATTTATTTAAGAAAAAATACTTGCTATTCTGGACAAACTTAGTCTTAATTGATACATATAAACTAATGATTCTCTTTTAAAAGAGAATGCACACATCAACAGAAGATCAATGTACCTATATTTGACAGTGATTTAAGAGGAAAAAAGTGTGTTAGACAAACTCCAAGATTTGTAGTTGTTCCTCTGGGTTCTGTGAGCATTTTTTGTGCTGTTCTCCCTTTTTTATTATGATATGAGAACTTGAGCTTAGCTCGTGTGTTTCTTTTTCTTTCTCTCTCTTTTTTACATAAACACTTGCCTTTCAGTTTTTTTGGCTCCACTCCGGCTAAAGTTCTTAACCCTCTGAATGGCCCCTCATCATTAAAATAAATACAAATACAACTCCACAAGGTGACTGCAAGTGATGGGAGACCCTCAAACAATTGGAAGGTTTGGTTTATTTTGGATAAGCCCCAAAGTCATGGATGCTTATCTGAAATAATACAAATCTTTGGAGAGCTTGCTTCCCCATCCCAAAATATTCTGTACCTATTATCCAGAAATACTTGTTCTCATTGCCTTCTTGCTGCAACCCACACCCATCCCCTGCAGTTGTCCCAGCCGCCTTCAGAGGGTTTGGGATTGAGAGTATGGTTGGGGATAGAAAGGTAATTGGCTTATTGACTTAACAAAAACACAACTACGCGTAGTAACAAGACAAACAATGACAGACAAAAGCAATTCGCGTCGGCAACTTATTGGCAGTCCCCTCTGATGCCTGATACACAGCAAGCTTCCCTTTTCACAAAGTTCAGTGAAGTCAGGCGTCCCTGAACAGCGCTGTCCAAGGGGTACCAGGAAGGCCTCTGGAATGCAGTCCTTGGGCTCCTCGAGGTCCACAGGTTCACTAATCCAGGTAACAGCTATCTAATCCTTTTTACAGAGCTGTGTCTTCCTTCTGAATGGTTTTCAGGTATTCCAGCTAATTTATAGCTTCTGAATGATACTGCTAACATACGACTACTCAGATTCCTTTTACTTCAACTGTCTTTAGACTGACCAGTTAGCAGTACAAGCCTTGCATTCTTTTGATAAGGTAATTTTAACTATGCTACAAGGCTTTACCACTTCAAGGCTTTGCTAAATTTACTAGGCCTTACTTTATACAAGGATTTACTACATCTTAAACTTTAATTAGGCTTTCAGCAACAACATATAGCTTAATGTCTAAACAAATACAGTAAAAAGACTTGGTCTAATCTTCATAGGGCCTTCAGCAAGCACCTTTATCACACATACATAATTT